GAGGAGGGGACAGTCACGCGTTGGGATGTGGTATGCCGCCGGGTCCCCTCCTCTCTCCTGATACTGTCGGGCGTTCGGTCATTTTGGTGTCACCCCTCCAATGGTGTCACCCGGGTGCGGGCCGCACCCCCCACACCCTGCTTGTGACGCCACTGCCTGCCGTTACCCTGAGGAGAACAATGGGGAAAAGCCCTAACCGCGTAGTTCTCCTTTTAAAGGTTCAAGGAAGCTCTATATTCTATGGGGGGGAGGCCAATACGTTCTTACCCTCGCCATGATCTAGATGTGCTAGGGATCTGAAATTTTGCAGGTTTATAGGTGGATATCTTAGTGATAGGCGTGCACCCCAAACATGACATATTTTCTGAAAGCCGAGACCCCGTAGAATAAATTGGTGGCAGTTCACATTTTCATGTTGCACGATTTTAGCCCAACTTATTATCAAACCCCATAATTTAGTGAAAAATGCCCTTATATGCCCCAAAATACCTATTTATTTTTTTGGGAAAACATAAAAGATGAGTAAATAAATACCCAACATGCCCAGGGTAAAAATTGCTTGCGTCCACGAAACTGCAGCAAAATTCAGTACCCCAAAAAGTCCATAGACGACGCTTTAAAGGAGAACTATGAGGGGGGAGGGGGGTGCTTTTCACTCACCTCATAGTTCTAGCCGACCTGTGACAATGAGACTGTCACAGGTCGGCTCAGTAGATCGGGAGGTGAGGGAACACATACCGGCGTTCGCTCACCTCTCGATCCTGTCACGGCTCTCTGCCGTGACAGGGGAGGGGCTGGATTCCCCCCTCCCCGCTCCGATCCTCCAGCGCTGACTGGCGGAACGGACGGGGGAGGGGGCGGGTACAGCTGGCTCTGCCTCTAGATAGGCAGAGCCGGCTGTCACTCACGCAGCTGGGCGGATTTCGACATCGATGTCGGGATCCGCTCCGGCTGCGGCGTCTCAGTATACCGCAGGCTGTAGCTCCCTATATACTGAGCGTAGGGTGACGGGAGGACGCTAGTTTGTGTCCTCCTGTTACCCTAAGGAGAACTATGGGGAAAAGCCCTGACCTCATAGTTCTCCTTTAAAAGCCCCCACAGGTCATAATTTTAGAGATACGCGTAAATATTGGCCCGGGAATTGTTGCTCTCACTCCGGCGTGCGCGGCATTACCCAACATGTGTAGCGCGATCGCCGTTTTCATACAAATGACGAGCCTGATGAAGGGGAACCCTTGAGGCCCCGAAAGCGCTTGTAATTGAAAGGCATTTTGTCATTAAATGGACTTTAGCTGAAATCTTTTTGGTGTGTGCTGGTGACATCTTTGCTAAGTCAGAGCGGGGAAGATGGCCGCGGTCGTGTTCATCACCCGATGCGGAGCTCGCGAATGGAAAGCAACATTTTGCCGAACTTCCTGTTTACGAACAGAAGCGTTCGTGAGCCGAGGCGCATATGCAATATATGCAACTATGTAACGCAACGCCCCCGTAGTCCTTTGCAAGGGTATCCCTCAAAGTGAACATTGCTAAGCTAACCTGACTGTGGAAATGAACATGTTCTACTATTGGTTACCGAACCCGAATGCAGTGGCGTAACAATCGCCATAGCGACCCAGGCGGCCGCTATGGGGCGCGGTCAGATGCCGTGCGTGCCGCCTGGGTCGCTATGGGGATCCTCTGCTGGTGGCTTTCACTGGCGGCTGAAGATGAACAG